CCTCCCCTCCTCACCGCCGCCCGCGGGGTCTCTCTCGGCTCGGCCCCGCCCCCGGCCCCGCCCCCCGGGCCGGCTCACGTGGTACCGCTGCGCTTCAACAACAACTTTATTGGGAGCGCAGTGCCACGCGGGGGCCCGCGGGGGCGGGGAGCCTGTTCCCGTGGTAACGGCCCGGCCTAGCTCCCCGAAGCCATCCAGGGGCCCAGTTTGAAAATTAAGCGCCTCGCTGGAGGCTGCATAGTATCATTCCAGGGCCACAGTTTCATTCCCACTTTTGCCACCTAACTAGGGGTCCCCTTGGGGTACACTATAACCTCTCCGTCCCGCAGTTTCCTCACCTGTAAAATGAGGGGCTGGACTTTCTCTAAAGCCTCACACAGCCCTGACTTCTATAATCTCTCTCTTCTCATCCCAGAGAAGAGAGCGCGTTCTTCCCCATTTGTTTTCTTTTCCTGACTCTGCTCAATCTTCCCCAGCTCAGATTCTAGGTCACAAATTAAGTCCACACCTTTGTCTCCTTTCCCATCCTATTCCAAATGAGCCCTCTTTTTACCCAATCTGGAAAAAAGGGGGTGTCCCATTGGTAAGGGAGTCAAAGGCAGGGGGAAAAGCTCCACAAGGCAGGGACCGAGTCTGGTTGGTTGGTTTTCATTGGGGTGTCTCTCCAGGGCTTACAACAGTGCCAGGCACATAGAAGGGACCAAATCTTTGTTGACCGAACAAAGCAGGGATCACTAAATGAAGGCCGGGTCTTCTGTCAATTCTGTGCTACCCGAAGACCTCTGTGAGTCTCTCTTCCCCATCCCTCACCCTCAGTCTACCCCAGCCACGTTGGGAAGCAAGGACTGTGTCATACTCCCAAGTTCAGTACCTAGTGTCTGAGCTGTGTGATTTCCGATTTGTGGCTGGAGCCTCGGTTGCTCGGGGAAGCCCTCTGGGGAGTCACCAGATCCAGGACCAGCTGGGTACATCATAACACTGAAAGGCTAAAAGGAAGAAGAAGGAGAAAGTCAGTCTGGCTTCGACTAACAGCACTCACCCGTTGCCTGAGATGAAGCAGCGGCCCCAAGGGCAATCTGAAGATTGGGAAGCCTCTTAGAAACTAGCACACAAATGTCAGCTCTGCCTAAGGAGCCCCCAAAGCCAGGCCCACTCCTTTTAGGTGGCTGAAATAAACCTTCCTTGTAACTTCCTTCCATTTTGTCCCAATGGTTACCCAGAAGTCCAAGTTCTAAATCAGATCCTAAATCAAGGTACTTACCTAGAGCCTATGTTTATCATTTTGGGAAACGAGGGTTCCCTTATCCACTTGGAAATATTTTAAAAACACAAATTGCTAGGCCCTCCTCCCAGGGTTCTGATTTAACAGGTCTGGAACGGGGCCCTTAACACAGACCAAGTTATTCTGGTGTACAGTTTGGGAACCTCTGCTAAAGGACCTGCCTTCAACTGTACTGTTCAATGCATGTGTGAGCAAAATGTGTCAGGCCAACCGATGCCATCCGCCTTCAGAGGCTTTTCCCCAAGGCCAAGTAAGTGAGACTGCCCTCTTTCTGTTTCCCAATCCATAATCAGCTATGTTGAAAAGCGTAGGGGGATGTGAGCATCACAAGGTTTGGAGTTAGACCACCTGAGTTCAGATCTGGCTCAACCAACTTCACACCTGTGGAACCTCCCAGGTCACTGAACCTCTTGGAGCCTCAGTTTCCTCCAACCTAGGGTAAGCTCTTAGTGTTTACTATTTCTTTTTTTTTTTAATTTAAGCCTAAACCAGCTCTGGCTACTGCTAATGTAGGGTCATCTTCTACGATCCCTGGCAGAAATAGAGCCTTCCAAACTGTAATGCTAAACTAGCCCTCCCTGCAGATTCCAAGGAGACTTGTCCTGGAGAAGAGCACCCTCGGGCTTCCCCAGTCAAAGGAAAAGTGTAAGTACAGTCTGCACCATCTGCAGCCTCACTGTGTCAGAAATATTCCAAGAAGAGGGACTGGATGAGTCCCTCAATTTATCCCAACTGTGATAACAGTGGAGGTGATGATAAACCACTGGGTGGTTGCAAGGATGCAGACCCTATCTAGTAGGGCCAGTGGAAGGTTTTGCAATACTTTGAGGGATACAAAATGTTCTTTTACAGGGGAATTTCCTGTATACAAGAAATGTAAGCCGTTGCGGGTTCAAATTTTACTTCTGCCACCAGGGATGTATGGAAGTTCAAGATGGTGGCCTTTATTAATTTACTGGTAGAACATGTGCATCATACAGGCTGGTATAATCCTTCCTTTCAGGATTGCAGAAGCTGCTGACCAAGACCTAGAGCAAAGCTGCTTAGGAGAAATGCAATGTGAACCGCATATGTAATTTAAAAATTTTTAGTAGCGTCATATAAAAAGGAAAAAAAAAAGCAGGTGAAATTCATTTTAATAATATGTTTTATTTAAACACATCTGTCCAAAAAATTGGCATTTCAACTCATCAGTACTTTAAAATGAGATATTTTGTGTTCCTTTTTTGTGTGTGTGTACTAAATCTTTGAAATCCAGTGTGTGTTTTACGTGGACAGCACATCTCAATTTAGATTAGCCACAATTCAAGTGCTCAATAGCTACAGGGGCTAGTAGCTATCGGATTGGACCTGTGCAGGTCTAGAGGGCTCAAACAGCCTCTCAGATAGGATAGGCTGAAATGATTGCTTACCTTCAACTCTTATGATAACCTGAGACCCGTATACTCCTCCTAACCTGGCCTCTGTAATCCTAGTGTTTCCTCTGGGATCTTGGTATTTATGGCTCGATATTCCCAGAATGTGCCAGATTGGCCTGAGTTGATGCATTCATTTATTCACTGATTCCTGCATTCATGTATTCATCAAATGTTTATCAAGCGCTCATCAGTGTTTACCCCAACCTCACCCTGACTTTTCTTGACCTCAGATCCCCTCCTTCTCTTTCATTGCAGACTCTAGCCCTGACTCAGTTTTTCCTACCTCAAGTCCTCCCACGCCCAATGTTAATGAGCCATCCCAAATCCTAGAAGCTCACTGTCACCACCTCCTCAGTGGCTTCATTCCCACTATAATTCAGATACCCTTGGAGTATCATGGCTAAGTACTGCTCCACCTCTGAAATCATAAGTTCAGACACCCACCCCAGTGAATCACATCATGGCTTTTTGCCTCTCCCACTCTCACTTCTGCTTCAGCTGTTAACTCCATCAAACCCTAGCATTCTCTCTTCTGTCCTCACGCTTCCCCTCAGTCACCATTTCTTTTTCTATCCAATATGGAATCCCCGTGAACCATCTTTTATCACTCTTCCCAATGTCAACTCTCCTGCCCACTGTTCTTAAATGACACCTGTCGAGGTCAGTAAAACCACTCTCCTTCCTGGCTCTGACATCTGGTCTGCTGAGCACTGGTAAAGTTACCAACGCCTTGGACTGGAGCTATTACTGTGCTGGTCTCCAACCTCACACTTCAGCCCTCAACCCACTGCAGCAATCCTGTGTTCTTAATTAGCTTTCTCTTCCATTTCCATGATGACCATTCTTTCCTAACTTGTTGTCCTATGATCCCCCTTCTTGTTCTCTGGAGATCATCTCCCTGCCAACTTTAGAGAAAAAATAGAACCACCAGGGTGAAAACTCTCTACTCCTTGTTGCCACACCAACACACTGGCCAGCATCCAAAACCAACTTTCTTCCTTGCCTCCCAACACAGTGGCTGACCACTCCACTATGCTTGGGATTCCTTCTTCCTGCCTCCTCAGAGATTATGCTTCTTCTGCTCACCCCTCTCCTTTTCTTTCCTGACTCCTTCCCATAAACATTTAAACATGCTTCACATCTCTCCTATATGAAACTCTCCCCCAGCCCAAGGCCCCCTCCAGCCATCTGTCCATCTCCCCACCTCTCCTTCACAGTCAAGCTACTTGAGTTGTCTGCTCCTGATATCCATACTTCCTTACCTTTCATTCATCTTCATTCCACTGAAATGTACCTTCTACCCTTATCACTCCACTGAAACTCCCACCAAAGTTCCTAGTGCCTTCCTTGTTGCCCAATTTAATGGGCATGCTCCAGGCTTTATTATTTCTTAAATGTTCTATAACTTTCATAACTCCCCCCTTCTTGTAAGATTCTCTTCCCTTGGTTTCTATGACATTCTTGTTTTCCTTCTGATTCTGTGGACATTTGTCCTAGTGTCTGTCATTTCTGTTCCTCTGAACACCCCCCTTTCAATGATGGTGTCCCTAGGATTTCATCCTTTGTCTCTTTCCTCTTCTTACTTTAAAGTCCCTCCTTGAGAAAATTTCACCCCTCCAGTGGCTTTAGATACCATCCACATACTGACAACTCACACATCTATATTTTTATTCCTTTTCCTGGGCCATAGACTCATAAATCCTTTCACCTGTGGACCTATTCAATGGATGTCCCAGAGGCAAAGACTCAACACACCCAAAGTTGCATTCAGCACCTTCCGCCACCATCCTCCCAAAAATGACAGCCCCTCTGTCCCCTCGGCTCCTCTGTCCTCTTCTTTTTGAATGGCACAATCACCTACCAAGTTATCCTGGCCTCTGGCTTTTTCTTCTCCCTTTTACTTTCATATCTGATCTGTCCCAAGTCCAAGGGGTTTGGCCTTCTTTATGTTTATTCAGTGAGTCCACGTCACTCCTGCAGCCACTTCTAACTGGTGTTGATCCTCTTCCTGTCCTCAATCTGCTTTTCCCACTGCAGCCAGAGCAGTATTTCTACTCTGCAAATCATGGCCGGTCACACTGCGGCTTCAAACCTCTCTGCAAACCCCCACTACCCTCAAAATGCAGGCCAAACTCCTTAGCATAGCCCTGCAAGCCCTCTGTTGTTGGCCTCTGCCCACATCCTTCAGCTTTTCCCTTCCATCACCACTGCCCACAGTGAGAATCCCACTCCGGCAAGCTGCAGGGACTTTGTGGATGCTTCCTTCCCAGCCTCAACTCCCTCTCCTCCTCCCCTGGGTCTTCCCCTCCCTCTGCCATCACTGGTTACTGCCTAATGGACCTTCAAGTCTCAACTTCGACATTTCTTCCTCAAGGAAGCTTTTCCGAATCCCTAGCACCTACCCACACACAAACGCACCACCGCCCCCAGTCTGGACCAGAAGCTTTCTCCTATTTGCTTCTCTCACACCCTTGCTTCCTCTGGACCCAGCACTGTCACTGTCTCTTTACTCATCAGTACCCCTCAGTAAACTGTATACTTCATGAGGTTCGCCACTCTGTTCCCGTCGCCTAAGCCAGCACAAGGGCATCCAACACAGACAATGAACAAATGAATGAATGAATAAAAAGTCCTTCTTTCTGAAGAGCTTCAGTTTCATGAGGAAACTGAGCACAATAAAACTCAAACTTGCAAAAGTGGACACATAATGAGGAATTTCTTGCTTTATAATTCTGCAAGTGCCTTTCTTTCAAAGACCCCCCCATATCTGAAATCCCACTTGATTTACAACTATCATTTATTTTAAAAAGCTCTTGCAAAAAAATGGGATATTATTACATCTAATAATAATGGCATCTGTTTCTTTCTTTGGTTGCACTTCCTCATCTTGCCTCCTAATGTGGTTTCTGCCAAGTTTCTTGGATTCTCTTCTCTCCATTCTTTCCTTGGAGAACTAGAATCTTCACCATCTTATGCTAATGGCAGTCAAATTCAATGGCAAACTTTTCCCTAAAGGACCAGAGAGGAAATAGTTTTGGCTTTGCAGGCTATGGGTCTCGGTAGCAACTTGACTTTGCCATGTGGCTGCATGAAAGCAGCCACAGAAATACCTAAATGAGTGATAATGACTGTATTTTAAGAAACCTTTACTTACAAAGCAAGCAATGGGCCAGATTTGGTCCTCAGACTATAGTTTGCCAGCTCCTGAAATCTATCACCTGAGCCCAGACCCTTCTGAGCCATGAATGGAGAACCACCTTGTCATGTTAAACCAACAGCAAGGGGGCAGTGTAGAGAGGCAGTATGGGCTCTGCAACCAGACTGACTTCATTTATGTCCCAGCTCTGCTACTTTCTAGCTGGCAGACTTTGACTCATTTCAAGTCAAAACCATGCCTCCCCTCTTCCCCTGGGACTGTCTCTTTTGTCGCTGCTCTGTGGATTAACTAGAGAGTCAGTTTACCTCCTACCCCCTATGTGCCTTATGCCTACCTCCCAGCACCACAGGAGCTCGTCTTTCTAATTAGTAATTTAAAAGTACAACATTTTGATTAGGTGGGACATCACACAATGGTTATATGGTTTCTGAAACGCTAGCCCCACAAATAACCCCAAAGGATACATATGGCCAACAGACTTTTGACAGTGGTAAAAAGGCAATTAAATGGAGAAAGAACAGTATTTTCAACGAATGGTGCTGGAGCATTTGAACATCCACAAGCAGAATGAAGCTCAACCCATACCTCAACAAAGGTACCTGTTACACCTTATACAACGATTAACTCAAAATGAATCCTAGAGAAAGCTCTGGAAACAGATTGTGGTGATGGTTATACAACACTGTTAATGTACTTAATGCCACTGAATTGTATACTTTAAAAGGGTTAAAATAATAAATTTTATGTTGGCATATTTTACCACAATAGAAAAAAATTTAATGGATCGTAGACCTAAATGTAAAAGCTAAAACTATAAAACTTCTAGGATAAAACATAGGAGAAAATCTACATGACCTTGGGTTAGGCAGAAAGTTTAGATATGACACCAAAAACATGATCCATAAAAGAAAAAAATGGTAATTTTGATCAATTTTGAAAATTTTTCAATTATGAATTTTTAGGGGCACCTGGGTGGCTCAGATGGTTAAGCATCTGCCTTAAGCTCAGGTCATGGTCTCTGGGTCCTGGGATCGAGCCTCACATCCAGCTCCCTACTCAGCAGGAAGCTTGCTTCTCCCTCTCCTGCTCACCCTGCTTGTGCACTCTCTCTCTCTCTGTCAAATAAATAAATAAATAATAAGATCTTAAAAAAAAAAAAAAAAGAATAAGAAGCTAAACCATAGACTGGGAGAAAATATTTGCAAACCACATTTCTGACAAAGGACTTCTGCCCAGAATATATCAAGAACTCTCAAAACTCAGTAAGAAAGTAAACCACCCAGCTTAAAATAGGCAAAAAATCTGAACAATAAGAATGATATATGAATGGCCAAAAAGCATATGAAAGGATGTTCAACATCACTGGTCATTAGGGAAATGCAGATTAAAACCACCAGGAGATACCACTGCACAATTAGCATGGCAAAACAAAAACAGAACTGGCAATATCAAGGGTTGGCAAGAATGTGGAACTGATGCTACCATATATTTCTAGGGGGAATTCAAATTAGTGCAGCTCTTTGCACTTTGGGTAACAACATGGCGGTTTCTCACAAGGTGAAACATACACCTGCTACATACATGAGCGATCCCACTCCTAGTATTTACTCAAGAGAATCTCTGTTCACACAAAAACCTGTATGTGATTGTTTATAGCTGCTTTATTCAAAATCACCAAGAAAGGGAACATATGAAGATTTAGCAGGTAAATGGATAATGTGTACATGCTACAATGGAATATTATTCTGAAATACAAAGGAACAAACTACTGCTTCATGCAATAACATAGATAAATCTTAAATGCATTTTACTAAGTGAAAGAAGCCAGACCCCTCCAAAAAACTACACATTGTATGATTTCATTTATATGACTCTGGAGAACGTGAACCTATAAGGATGGAAATGGAACAGTGATTGCCAGGGGTTAGGCTGGGAAGGGGTTAATCATAAAGGGGCAGCATGAGAGAAATTTTCAGGTGATGGAACTGTTTTGAGTGGAACCATGGTAGTAAATACATGACTCTCTGCATTTGTCAAAACTTACAGAACTGTGCTGTACAAACTGAATGTTGCTGTATATAAATTAAATAAAATCAACCAGGATATGGGGGGGGAGGTGAAATACAGGCTGTGACCAGTGAACCCATGTTACAAATGAATCAAATAGGGCTCCTGGGTGGCTCACTCGTTAAGCGTCTGCTTTCGGCTCAGGTCATGATCCCAGGGTCCTGGGATGGAGTCCCGCATCAGGCTTCTTGCTCAGTGGGGAGCCTGCTTCTCCCTCTCCCACTCCCCCTGCTTGTGTTCCCTTTCTTGCTGTCTCTCTCTCTGTCAAATAAATAAATAAAATCTTAAACAAAAAAAACCCACAAATGAATCAAATAATCACATTGAAGGGGCTAGGAAGAAAAAGGGTGGACCTAGATAATTTGGGGGGGAATATTTTAACTGGATACATAAGGATAAACACACACACACACACACAAACTATATAATAACACTGTGTTCTAGTTGGTAAATTTGTTTCCCCTGTTATGGTTTAGCAATTCTGAAACTACTTTATGTGTATCCTAGAGATGAGCAAATAAGTAAATATATTGTAGAAAATGAGAGCCAGGTTTCTTGAGGAGAAAGAAATGACAAATATGAAAAGGGAGAAGACATGAATGCCTCCTGTGGTGCTGGATTGGAATCAGAGGTATTGGTGTGTTCATGGCTTTTGTTTAATATATATACAGATAGATGGGTATGGAAATAAATACAGATGTCTGTTATGTGTGAGTTAGTGTATGTACCTACCTACCTACATACATACATAATACATATATACATACAGATGTGTATTTCCTAGCTCTGTCCACTGGGAAGGACTAGAAGCAGTGCCAACCCAACAGTGATGAGCATGCCAGCACCCAGACCTAGGGTTTCACTCTCCTTGGAAAAGTGCTCGATGCCTGTGGTGCCAGAAAGGAAGGAGGGGATCAAACAAATAAAAATAAAAGGTGGGGTGCATGTCAAAAGGGCACAGGAGCCAACCTGAATGAGCTCCCACAGCCAAAGCTGGAACTTGAACAGCAAAATAATGATAGTGCTGTATCCATGATCAGCACTATCCATGATAAGCATCCATGATCCCTGTTAATATAAACAACTGAATAAACAAATAAATAGAGGAGAGGGACCACTCTCTCCCACAAGAGAATTCCAATTAACAAACATAGAAGGATTGTGGGAAACAGAAAATCACCATTAAAACATGACAGTAGTAAAGGTTGAGTCAAGACCTCAGTAAGATCAATGGATGCTAAAATTTTGGGGCAAAATAAAGTATTGGGCTAAAAGTTTAAGCAGAAACATCTTCTCCAAAATATATAATAACTACAAAGGGGAAAACAGTAACTTTACAGTAGATAAACCTGGCAGATACCACCTTGCCCAAGACATCAACGTAATACATATTGACATCATGTGTCCCTGATAAGCACTGAAAAGAGCACATCAGCTCTGGCACCTTTCCCAGTAATCATGACAAAACATCAGACACACCCACATTGAGGGACATTCCACAAAATATCTGACCAGTGCTCTTTAAAATTGTCAAGGTCATAAAAGACAAACACTGGGGAAAGCTCATATTTTGGGAGAGACTGAGAGAGACATGGTAACACAATGTGGATGCTGGATTGGATCCCAGAACAAAGAGTGGTCATTAGTGAAAGAATGGGTAAAATACAAATACGATCTGTAGTGGAGTGAATAGCATTGTACCAATGTTAATTTCTTACTTTTTGACAATTTTGCTATGCAAGATGTAAATACAAGGGGAAGCTGAGTGAAGAATGTATAGGGAACTCTATTATTTTTGTAACTCTACTACAGTCTAAAATATTTCAAAATTAAAATTTTAATTTAAAAAAGGATACCCCTGGGGCATTTGGATGGCTCAGTCGGTTAAGCGTCTGCCTTCAACTCAGGTCATGATCCCAGGGTCCTGAGATGAAGCCCTTCATCCCAGCTGCTCCCTCCTCCTCTGCCCCTCCCCCCACTCGTGCGC